TCAAAGCCACCTAGTGGACAGCCCAAAGGGTTAAGTGTCAGCATTTGGAAGAATGACCCCTTAGATCTAGGCTGTATGCCCTCAACCTAAGACCCCAGCCCTTCTTTTCTTTATGTATTTACAGGATGCTTGCTTGTTTCCTTTCTCTCTCTCTTTCTTCTTTCTTTCTTTCTTTTCTGGTCATGGGGCTTGAACTCAGGGCCTGGGCTCTGTCCCTGAGCCTCTCTGTACTCAAGGCTAGCACTCTACCACTTGAATCACAGCACACTTCCAGCTTTTTCTGTTTATGTGGTACTGAGGAATCAAACCCAGGGCTTCATGTATGCTAGGCAAGCACTCTATCACTAAGCCACATTCCCAGCCCTATAGGTTACTTTCTAATGATGCTTTTGAAATTTTTTAAAAACAGAGACTTCAAAAGCTATAACTACCCAGTCATGTCTATATTCCTAGCTGCTTAGGAGGAAGAGATTTGGAGGATCAGGTTTTCAGGTGAGCTCAGGGAAAAACTGAGACCTGCATCTCAGCTGTCTATGGTCCCAGTTACCTGGAAGGCAGAAATTGGGTGGATGACAAAATGAAATACCCTATCTGGGAAAGAACTAAATCAAAAAGGGCTAAGGGCATGGCTCATGCAGTAGAGAGTTTGTCCAAGAACAAAGCCCTGAGTTCAAACCTGAGTATTTAACAAAGTCACAGCAGCAACAATAGCATTGCAACATTCATGATTTAACATTTAGACTATCATTAGCACCACCAAAGTCAAAGTCCTCATCCCTTAGGCTATTGCTACCCCTTCATAAATGTCCCTGACATGGCTACAGAATCCAGCAGAAATGGTCTTACATTACCTCTATTCCCTTTCTGTCTCCAGCCCTATCCTGCTCTAGGCTTATCTCAGGATCATATGACCCCAAACTTCACCAGATATGTACCCCACCCCTGCTCCCAATAGCTCTGAGTGGGCCTAGCCTATCCTGCAGGAACTGTGGTGCATTTAGGCCCCCAGATCCTTGATGGAGCTGGCAGCCAGCAAGGGAAGTGGGGAGAGGCGGAGGGGTTAGTGCCCCCTCCTCAGGCCTGGCGCCCCACCCACCCAGCCAGCGGCCTGTCTGCCTTCCTGAGCTCATTAACTGCAGGTCACCGTTCAGCAGGAAAGACAAGGCGTGGGTTCTGCGGGCGTTCATTAGCCGTGAGAGGAACAGTGTGTGTGAAATTAGCAGTCACCTGAGGACCTCGATAATTTCATAATTAGGAGGCCTAATGGCTCCAGCTCTAGATGCCAAATGACTTAACCCCTCGCCTGCTGGGCCCCCCAACCCCCAGCCCAAAGCTGCAAGGGAGGGCTGAAAGAACCCCCTCTGCTCTAGCCTTGATCCCTAGAGCCAATCTAGTTCATTTCTGTCACCCCGCATGCAGTACAAGAACTGAGCCAGATAAATGGGGTGATAAAGCAAAGCTGACAGTGAATGAATGAATGCATGAATGAATGAACAGGTGTCTGGATGGGAAAGGAGCTGCAGCTCCCTCACCCCAAGCAGGTGTTCAGGGAGGTACACTCCAAAAAGGAATGAGGAAAGGCTCTCCATCTGCATGAGTAGGTGGGTGGCTGAGCACATGCATGGGTGTGTGTGTGCTTGCATGCTGATATGCACATGCAAACATGAGGGCACACATGTGCACCTGGGATGTCAGCTTTTAAGAATCCTGGGTATGTCAATGTCCAAGCTGCCATCTGGGAACATGTTCTGCTGCCTCCTGTCTCTGGCAGAACCCAGGTGTCTCCCTCCATGCCAGCCTCTCCTGGCACCACCTGAATAATGATGTCCAGAATGTCTATACTCGGGAGCTGGGAGGCGTTGTTGGCTGGGAAAGGGGTCCTATGGGGCTTGCTTTCAATCTGCATTTGCATAGCAAGTGCACTGTTTTTACTTAGATTGAATGGTTATTTGGGATTCTGGGCAACCTATGCTAATATGGGAGACTAAAGTCAACTCCTTAACTATTGGATGAGCTGGTTAGAACCGTCTCCAGTGATCCCTCTTTCCCAGCCAGTCCTCATCCGGTTCTGCGTTCCCAATCCTGAAGAGGGAAAGGTTGAGGCAAAGGGGTAGGGTCCATATGGCTCTGGGCTGGAGCAGGCCTCCTCAAACTGGGCCACTTGGTTCTGAGCAAGCTTGGACACTGCCCCATTCCCCTGACTGTAGAGAAGCAGGGAGGAGCTGAGTGGGGGGGGAGGGGAGAAAAGGAGGAAGAAGGGAGGGAGAGGAGATGAGAACAATGAAGAAATAGAGGGAGGGTTGGAGTGAAAGGATGGGGGATGGGAGAATAGGAATTCTGAAGGAGGTGAGGGAGAAGGAAGGAGAGGAAGCAGGAGAGAGAAGGAAGAGGAGAGGAAAGAGGAGAGAGAGAAGGAAGGGAGGGGAAGGAGGAGAGGCAGGGAGACTGAGAGCATTATCAGCACTTAAAAAGCGAGCAGCTCAGTTCTTCTTTGGCACAAATAATGGCTTTTTATGAATAAATCATGTGTCAGACGCCTCCCAGGGAGTGGGCATGAAGGGGGGTGCGTCTGCTGGGCTCCAAGGCTGGCGGGGAAGGGCCAATGGCAGACCCCCAGCTGCAGGGGTGTTGTCCCCTTTCTCTGGATGGGGCCCAGCAGGACAGAAGCTGTCTGTGAAATTATCATTGGCCTAAGCCTAGGCACAGCTCAAGCATTACTCTGAGGTAGTCTCCTTGCTCCCCCTGTACATGAGCTAGGCTGGATCCCAGGGGCTGGAGTGTCCCTCTGCTCCCCTCCCCTCTGACAGACAGCAGAGCAGCCTGATGCACGGAGGGAGAGAGGGGGGGAAGGGTGGAGGGAGGGAGGGAGGAAGGGAGGGAGGGAGAAGCCAAGACAGGCAGGCACACCCAGAGAGCAATGAGCGTGAGGTGCACATGTGAGAAGCAGGAGGGCATTTGACACACATGTGGGCAGAGACTGGATTCACTTTCACACACACACACACACACACACACACACATACACACACACTCAGCCATGTGCACCCTTGACAAGAAGAGACCTCCACTAGTCCTCACCCCCTCCAGCACACTAACACTTCACACACACACACACACACACACACACACACACACACACACACACAGGCCCACACAGACAGATGCATATGGCATGACATGGACACACACAGACCTTGCACATGTACACCAGAGGCCCACCCTCTAGCAGCTTAGGGGGGGGCAGCTTTGCAGCCCATATGGAGCCCAGACTCTGCTGGACCATTTTAGAGTCTGGTTATTGGGTGGGACAGAGACATCTGTCCCAGGGAGGCCCTTCAGTCTCTATATGCTCCCTATCCATTCCCCCCATTCCCCCACCCCATCCACCAAAGATGTGCTAGCACCCACACTCCTTCTAAGTCTGAACCTGTGCAGATTCAACTCGCTTCCCTGCCCATGGTTACTTCTCCTCAGAGACCAGGACACTGTAGGAAAGCGTTGGGGACATACAGTCAAGGGCAGGACCCTGGCTCTGCCCCTTGCTAATAGAGCCTCAGACTCCAATCCTTTTTCTTCAACAAATATACAAGACAGGTACTACTGCTACCAAGAAAATGAGTCTCCTGGAGCTCCAAGACCCACCAGTCTTTTCACAGACCCTAACGACCTTCTGAATCCCAGTTTTCCTTCTCTCACCCCCTGCACCCCCTGCTCCTCCTCCTCTTCTTTTGCCTAAGGGTAAAGCAGACCTGGGTTCTTTGCTTATTGTATTCTGCAAGGCTGTACCCCAAGCCAGACCAAGCACCGATAATCTTGCTCCTGTCTCTCATCTCCCTCTCCAGTCCAGATGACTTCCTGTCTGACCTTGCTATCCAGGTGTCATCACTATCCTGCCACTTTATTGCCTAATGCCAGAAAATGTCATTCAAATGGACCTCCCTCCTCTCTCCCAGGCCCCAAAGATTTCCATTTGCCTAAAGCTTCACTTAGTGTTTCCCATTTTAGGGACCAGTCCTATCTGCTGCTGACACCTCTCCCCTTCATGTCCAATCCACAACCAAGTTGCAACGACTCCATCCATAATCTAAGTGAGCTTGTCCTTTTCCCTCTTCGCTGATGTGAGTCACCATCAGCACTTCAGCCTGGCCCAGCCTCTCTCCCACTCCTATCCCTTCTGGCCCGATGCCTCCCTGTCACCAGCTTTCCATCTCTGAGCCTCAGCCATACAACTGCTTTTGGTTCTGGAATCTACATACTTCTTGATTCTGGGACTTTGAATATGCCACATCCTCTGTCTGAATCCCTCCCTTCCCAGTGCCAAGTTATCCTTCAAGGCTTCACTGAGACAGCACCCCCCCACTCCACCAGGTTCCTTCAGGGCTGAGATCCTACCCATACTGCAATCTTGGTACAAGGACTGGCACTTAATAGGTGTTAACTTAATTCCTTGCAGGAATGGGTGCGTGCAGGGCCTGGGCTGAGTATTACACAGTTTTCCTCACTGTGGGGGCTACCGTGCTATAGTAAAAGACCAGCAAAACAAGGCTACCAAGGTTGAAATGTGCGCAAAGCCACAGATCTGGTAAAGGGAGGGAATAGTTCCAACAGAGGCTTTTCCAAAGGCTCCCCATCCCTCATCTTCTTAAGTTATTTTCCTTCTCTGACCTTGTTTCTGTACAATGGGAACAAAACCCATGCCATACAAAACCTAGATGAAACAAGTTCTCAGTAAATATCTATGTTCCTTCTTGCCAGACTCCTCAGGCTGGAAATTTCCTGCACTCACATGTTCACAGAAACAGGTGCAGAGCTCCACAAGGCACATCTCCAGCATGAGAAATTCAGCAGGCGCTTAACCAATGTGCTCTTCATCAGCTAATGCTGATACATATCCAGACACAAGGCCACAACAGCAGCAGGCACAGGACCCCCACCCTATACCCAATCACTTCAGATTATTCTCCACCTCCACCACCTCCTGCTAGCCCAACGCACGCGGGAAATATTTAAAACAATTTTATTCATGAAAATATGCTGTACAATGCACTCTACACGGCCTTGACACGGCACACACGCACACGCACACGCTGACGGCACGGCCACAGTACACTGCCTACTATACGCGCTGGGGAAGCCGCACCTACCGCCCGCCCCCAACTGGACACTTATAAATATGGGAGGGGCAGGGACTGGCAAGGAGAAGGGGTCATCAGATTAGGGAGTGGATCTGGAGCTGAGGCCTGCTGGAGAGGTTGTGACTTAGTACTGGAGGTATGGGGACTGCAGAGTTGAATGACTGCGGGAGAGGAGATGTTGGATGGGAGGAAGATGGGGAACTATGGGGTTGAGGGTGGTGGGAAGGTGGCTTAGGGCTGGAATAGGACTACTCAGGTGGATGGCCAGGTAGGTGTGAGGTTTACAGAGAGTGAGTTTTGCTGGCTTCTAGTGGTGAGCCTAAGACCAGTGAGGAAAGTGTCAGTTGAGAATCAGATGGGAGATTGTGTTGGCCTGTTTGTCATGCCTCCACAGAACAAAACTGAAGATGTAGAGATGCCCCTACCCCATCTTCTAGGTGGCTTCCCCATCCAGCATCCACACCAGGGGGCCCACCTTATTCCTTTCCACTCCCCCCCCTTGGTTTGGGCCTCTTCTCCCAGGCTTCTGGCCCTGGGAGGAGGAAGGGGGTGAGGGTTTAGGAGTTAAAGCAGGAATGGTGGGGGTCCCCAGCAGCTCACTCCCAATTCCCTCTGCCATCAACTTTTGAAGGAGGTCTCTAGCTGGCTGAAGCTACCCGATTCCTCCTGCGCAGCTGGATAGGGGGTTGGGACCTAGGGATCAGGACGGGAAGACAGAGGTCCCTTGGGGAGGGGACCAGGCTACCCAGGAGGGGAGGCCCTCAGCCCGGCACCCAGCTCTGGTTAGGGGGCGGGGCCCCGGCCAGGCCGGGGGGAGGTGGAGGCAGGGCTGAGTCAAAGTTGAAGTCCATTTCGTCGCTGTCCATGAAGTCATTGAGGATGATGGACTCGACGTCACACTCAAGGCTCCCGCTGAACATGTCGAGGTCCAGGTCTGCGGGGAAGCGGTCCGGAGCGGCTCCCAGTGGTCCTGCGGCTGCGGCCGCATAAGGCCCGGGCAGCGCGTCCAGCAGGTGACCGCCGGGCGGGCCCCCGAAGGCTGCAGCGTGGCCGGGCGGTGCCAGGCCCGGAGCGCCCGCCTCGCCGGGCAGCGTCATAAGGCTGATGGGGTGGGCTAAGGCACTGCGCGAGGGCGCCGGCGGCGCATACGGGGCCGCGCCCTTGCCGGGGTAAGCGGCAGCCGCACCCGCCAGCGCCAGCTCCCCGGGCGCCCCCAGCACGGGGCCGGGTCTCGGCGCGGGCGGCGGCGGCGGCAGCAGCGCGGGAAGCGCCCCCGGACGGAAGGGCGCGGCGGTGGGTACAAAGCTGGCCTGCTTGTTCTCCTGGATGGTCTGCATGGGCAGGCGGCGCAGCGCGCCCAGCGCCTGCGGCCCGAAGCCCCCGCCCCCGCCGTAGGCACCGCCCTTGCAGCTGCCAAAGTAGGCCGGCGTCCCGGCGCGGGCCCGGGGCCCGTAGGCGTCCGGCGAGCCGTCCAGCAGGGCGTCGGGCAGCCCCGCGCCGCCGCCATGCAGGCCCAGCGGGCCTCCCAGCTCCGCCAGGCGCGGCAGCTCACCGGGGCAGCGCGCGCCCAGCGCCGGCGACAGCGCGCTCGCAGGGCTCGGGTACATGAGCGGCGACGATGGCGCCAGGGCCTCCAGGGCCTCGTCGTCCTCTAACTCCGCCGCCTCCCCGAGCAGGGGTCTCCCGCCCCCGCGGAAATCGGCCCACGCCTCATAGTCGTCGCTGGCGTGCGAGGCCGGGCTGGCGGCCCACTTGGCGGCGGCAGGCAGGGGCCCCGGGGCAGACGCACCCGGGGGGCTGTCGTCCGGGCACCGATCGGGTACCTGCAGCTGCTTCTTCTTGCTCGCCTTGCCCTTGATGCGTAGGAACTTGGCCCCGTTGTCCATGGACACGGCCCTGCGCCGCGGGGTCTTGCCCGTCTTCCCGCCCTCAGGGTTCAGCATCCACCAGGAACTCTTGCCGGTCCCCTCGTTCTGCACGCGGATGAAACGCGTGTGCAGCGACAGGTTGTGCCGGATGGAGTTCTGTGGCCAGAGACAGGGGCACGGGTGGAGGAGGACGAGGTTGGATAACGTGATGGGAGGAGGAAACAAAAAACAAAAACAGGAGAGAGAGAAAAGCCAGAAGGGGACGGGAAAGAAATAGGGAAGACAGAGGGAGGGAGTTGGGAGAAGAGGGGTTTGCAGGTGTAAGTACCAAGTTGGACAAATGTTGAATACCCATCCTCTCCCACAAACCGCTTCCGCGCACTCCCACCCTACCCCACCCTGCCCTCAGGGCGGGGCTGGGGCTTTTGGCCCTCCCCTCCCCCCCCCCCCCCCAGCCCCACTCCCTAGGGCCTCTGATCCTGCAGGGGGAAGCGGTGACAGGAGGCCGGACCCCTTCTCCCCAATTCAGCCAAGCCCTTCGCAGGGCTAGCCAGGCTGCCACCCTGCCCTTCCCCCCCCCCCCCCCCCCCCGCCCCCAGCAGATTATGTAAGGGCTCATGCCGCCGCGGCTCATTTGTCCGCCCCCCTCCCTCCCCAGCCTGGCATGGCGCCAGGAGCCCGAAAACCCAGGGCTCCAGAAATCAATCTCGCGGTGACTGATTAAGCCCTGTTTAGAACTAATTGCTCTTTCGTGTGTGGGGAGAATAAATTACCTGCTTTAATTTCGTGTCTTTAAAATGCAACTGCAGGTAGAGAAGACTGTTAACCCTTTGCTGGGAGGGTCTGGCCAGGGAAAGGAGCTAGGTTGGGAGACCCCAAGGTGGGTATAGAGGTGAGACTATGGAGATTCACCTTTATCTTCTCTGAGCTCCTGCAAACTCCAAAGAGGCCTTGGATATTAAGAAGCCCTTCCAAGGGCCACCTGTGGCCATGGAGACCTTAGCCAGCTCCTACTGTGATGTCTAGCAAGCCCAGCTCTCCAGCCATCCCTTCCTACCCACTGGCACAGATCTGCCCTCAAAATGAGGCCTGCACACTCCCCATCTCCAGGTAGACCTAAGCTCAGAGATGCCAAAGTATTTTGCCTAAGTCTCCACTTCCCTTTTTTTTTGGGGGGGGGGGGAGGAGGTGGGGTCCTTTGTGGGGCTTGAACTCTGGGCCTGAGCACTGTTCCTGAGCTCTTCAGCTCAAAGCTAGCTCTCTACCACTGGAGCCACAGCACCACTTCTGGTTTTCTGGTGGTTAATTGAAGAGAAGAATCTCACAGACTTTCCTGCCTAGGCTGGCTTTGAACCACAATCCTCAGATCTCAACCTCCTGAGTAGCTAGGATTACAGGCATGAGGCACTGGAGCCCTCCTTCCACATCCCTTTCTGCAGTTCCTAGGCACCTTCACCTTTGCCACCCTGCCTGTATCTTTATCTTAGTTCCTGCACTGCTTTGACTAGGCCTATTGTGGGGACAGAGGAACCTAGAGTTGAACTTGGGCTGGACCTCCCTCTCACCTGGTTGCCTTTACCTCCCTGCTTAGATATTTCTTTGCAAACAACATGGTTTGTCTATCAGAGGACTGGGCAGGATGCCCAGGTCTTTGGCCACCTACCTGTGTGACCATGGTTGTATATCAATCTCTGAGCTACTCTGAAAAAATGGGCTGGAGCTGTTAGCATTTTCTATGAGCAAACTGTAGTTTAGTGTTGGTGAGCACTCCAGGGGCTTGTAAACGGTTGTTGTGCCAGAAGACCTTACTTCCTAGGTCACTCCACAGGCCTCCTGTCACCATCTTCTTAACATCATGCCTGAGGACAGTTGCCCTGAGCATCAACCACTAAGGGTGAGCTAGTATCACCCATTTAATCCACCAAACTCAGGCATGATGTAACTTGCCTACAGTCCCAAAACTAAGCAGTGATGCCAGGCACCATCTAGTTTTGCCCATTCATGGATTTGCTCCTAAAGCTTCCAGTCTACCCAGACCCACCCTAACTTCTCTCCTGCTCCTCTCCACCCACCTCCAGAGGTCCTTCCTGCTTTCCAGGATACCCTCCACTGTTAACTAGCCCCAATTCCAAGTCCTGAGTCAACCCCCAAGGCACCTGGCTCACTGTCTCTGGCACTTGTGACTTGGAAGGCAACAGCTGGGACTTGCCAGCCTTGTCCTGCCTTAGCCTCTCTTGGGGCCCTGTGAGGAGGGAAGCTTGACCCCCAGGGAGTGAGTCCCTCAGGTAGATACCCCCTTCCCGTTCCGCCCCTGCACCTGGCTCCCCAGCCCCTCCCCACACCTGTGCTCAGGTCCTCTGAGGCCTCAGGTCTCTTCCCCCACAGGACTCTCTGGATTTCCAGAGGCTCCACCTCCCACCTCTCCAGTCCACCAGCTGGAGGTCCTTCAGGTCACACCTCTTTGTTAGTGTTACTATGTGCCAGCTTGGCCTAGAGTGCTTTTGGGGAGGAGAAAGGATGCTATAGCAGGTACCAGCACTTAATCAACACTAGCCTATTCATCCCTGGGCACTCCAGTTATCTCATGTAATCATTATGTCAGACTCTCGAGAGTCAGGGATTGGGATCTCTAGCTCAAGATGAGGAGAGAAAGGCTCAGAGACTGAGTTGCCAAGATCACACAGCTTGTTGGGCACCAAGCCAAGTACTGATTTCAGGTTAATTTTATGCTGAATTTAAAGGATGTTACATTCTGTCAGAGGGAAGGGAAGAGTGTCAGTGAATTCCCAGAGATTTTTGGAAGTCAGAATTCATGTTTTCTTCAAACTTTCCTTGTACAATATTGCTAGAAGCCAGTAGGGTAAGATGACTGGGGACAACATTGCAAGATTAACATTTCTAAGTCCTAGTGCTTGCTTCTTTAGAATCCAAGGGAATTTTGCATGCACTTCATAATATACCTACTTTGTTTGACAAATACATTTTTAAAGAAGTTTCATATTACTCCAGATATGCTTTCAGGTCCATGAAAGTTTGCTTTCTCCTCCCCTGCTCCCCTAACCCAACCAGGTGCCTGAGAACTCAACCCCCAGCCTGACACCTTGGCTGGTTCAACTCAGGAAAAAGAAAAGACTTGCCCAAGGTGGCCCCAGGAACTGTGACACAGAAAGGATGTGAGCCCAGGCCTTGGGGCGGGGGGAGGGAGGAAAGGGCCCCAGCAAGGTACTCTTCCTACTCCACCAAGCCTGACCTTAGAGCACATCCCTCCTCCTTCCTCTTCAGCACTCAGTTGTTCTCCCCAGAAAGTGATGACATGGGCCAGGTGTACTCCAGGAACCTTTTCAGTTTGACACTGAAAATTCTTACATCATCCAGTCTAGAGGTTCGCCCTCCCCTCTCTCCGTCTCTCTCTCTCTCAGCTGAAGTGTTACACATTTAAGCCCCTGAGGTGTAAATAGAAATACGCGGGGTCCAGCCTTTTCAGCACTCTCCCTTTCAAAAACCATGGACTTGGGCAGGAACAGATTGTGCAGGCCATTTAGGTGAGTGGCAGAACCAAGTAGGTTGACAAGCCTTGCCCAGGGTCTTGCAGGATGAAGGGAGGTGGCTCAGAGCTGAGTGAGGAGCAAGGCCTACCAGCTCCTCAGCTGGGCTCTATACCAGGCATCACCAGGGCTGTGCCCCCTGAGATAAGTGCGGGCTATGCAGCCCAGCCACCTGGTACTAATCAGAGCTCCTCACCAGGCTCCAATGGCAAGCACTAATCACAACTCTCACTTAGCCACAAGGCCTCTTGGGAGGCCAGAGGCCATGGAGGAGGTAAGGGAGGTAGAGGAGGGAGACACCTCCTCTGCCAGGCAGCAGTAACCAGGCTCCCTCTTAGAGTCACCTAGCAACCCACCACCACAGCCACAGCCCTGGCATGCCCAAGCTCCCCTGGTGCCCAGACCTGGGCTTGGCTTCTGGAGTCTCCCAGACCTACACCAAGGCCTGGTGCATGCTCCTTTAGGAGATAGGAACTCTCTATTGAGGCTCCAGGGAGACCTCTGGGGGCAGAGGAAAAGGACAGCGATTCCATCTCATGCCCACCCCATTCTCCTTTAGAATCTGGGCAGGAAGAATAGCCTTCCCTCCTCAGGACCCACCCACCAGGGAGAGAAGGCTGGCAAGGCAGACACAGGGCAAAGTGCATAGGCTCTGGTATTGGATCTGGATGCCAGTTTCTGCCCCAACACTCACAGTATGCCCTGGGGCAAGGTACTCAAAAGCTCCAGGTCCTCCATAGACCTTCTACCCTCACTTTCTACAGCCACATAGCAGAGCCAGCCTGGGTCTTTAAAAACCTGGGATCAAAAACAAAAAACAAAAAACCTGGATCTTATCCAATCCTCACCAGATCCCAGATGAATGAAGGCCCTGCCATGGCCCACAGACCCTCCAAGATCTGTCAGACATCCTTCCTGCTTCATATTCCTTCTTGTCCCTCCAACTTTCCAAGTAGGAAATGCCCACAGAGACTTCTTCTCTTTGTTCAAACGGGTCTTTTTTTTTTTTTGGTCCTGTCGTGGGGCCTGAACTCTGGGCCTGGGCACTGTCCCTCAACTCTTCAGCTCAAGGCTAGCGCTCCACCACTTGAGCCACAGCACCACTTCCGGCTTTTATCTTTTTGCTTATGTGGTGCTGAGGAATCGAACCCAGGGCCTCATGCAGGCAAGGCAAGCGCTCTACCACTGAGCCACCTTCCCAGCCCATAAATGGGAATTTTTGCAATAAGGCCCATCCTAGCCACTCTTTAAAAAAAAAAAAAGTTTCTCTTCCCTGACATTTCTTGACCACTCCCTTAGAAAATGATCACTTTCTAAATTAATACAGGTTGAGTATTTCTAACCCCCAAACCCAAAATGTGATGTGTCCCCAAATTTGAATCTTTCTGAGTTTCATGGTAGTAAGTTTTGGATGCTCAACTGGTGAGGTCTATACAAATATTCCAAAGTTCTAGACTCTGAAACACTTCTAGCCCAAGCATTTCAGATAAGGGCTACAACCTATGTACTACTTATTGTCTGCTTTAGCCATTTTCTGACTGTCATATGAAAAATAACTCTCATGAGGATAATGACTTTACCTAATTTTTTTTTTTACTGTTTTGGCACAAT